AGGACTTTAGCTTGTTTACATTATACATAACACCCAATAACATAAAGGGTGAAGGTTTGGTACCATTAAAACGTTTAAACCCGCTGCATTTGTTTGCACCTGTCCTAAGTCAAGAATCTGATGTTCAGTAGTTGTCGTTTGTTGATGTGGTTCATAAGTGTTTCTCGTTTCTCGTTTTTTATATAGATTAGACCGTTGGTTTTCCCGTTTGAATGGTTTTACACTAGTAATTTTTTGGGGCCCTTTATAGCTTACTGTTCGGTGTGAGCCAAGGCTCCGTGTTGAAGACCGTACTGTGACCTATAATGGTTTACTTTTATAAATTTTGACTTGGATGGAGAGTTGTCTCATTGGCACTCATACCACATCTTATATCTAAGTATCAATAATGTATACAAGCTGAAGACCCGCCTATCTACTGATTGTAGATGTCAATCGTAATTACAATGCTTGAGCAAACATTTATACAAATAAAGCAAGCAAGCCAACCAACCAAACCTTTAAATTGCTAGCATTAGGATAACAGCTTTAAATGTTAATACATTTATCATTAAAATTCGCAGGAAGGCATCTCAGCACCTAAATATACTGAAAAGTTTATGAACTTATTTGAACAAGCTAAGTAGGCTAACTATCTTCCATACATTTATTTCAATTTTTTTCTGTACTGAGAATTTTGAAAAAAAATTAGAAAAAGTACAAGAAAGAGCACTAAGGGTTGTGTATTCATTTCAAGACAATTCAATTTCATACCAACAGTTGCTTGAAAAGGCTAAGATGCCTTCACTGCATATAAAAAGACAAAACCCAATGACAATTGAAACGTTTAACATAGCTAATAAATTAGCACCTGTCTGTTTACATGATCTATTAAATGTAAAAGACTGTTCATATTCTTTCAGTTAAAGTAATATACTTGATATTTCTTGTGTAACATAAACATAGTTTGGTAAGAATGCTACTCTGTGGAACAGCCTACCCGGCCATTTCAGGACTGAAAATAGTTTTTTACTATTCAAGAGCTATCATGTCTTCGGTAAATCGATAAAAAAGGTCGTGAAAAAATAAGTAACGGTGGTCAAGCATTGCGAGTGGATCGTGAAAGATCAGGTATCGGGTCGTGAAAGCAATTAAATACAATTCAACTCCAAAATATCCGTTATATTATCAAAACGCGGAAAAAAATTCAGAAAATATGTCTGTCAAAGTAGTTCAACTTCCTGGATAATACGGTAAAGAAAAAGTACAGTACTTTTTGAGAAAACACAAAAGGCGACACATAACCCTATGCGAACCTTTTTTACAGACAACTTTATCTATTTTCAATAATTGTCCTTATAACTTGATACATTAAATTATCTATTGACCTTGCATGTGTTTTCTCGATAAGATTTCCTTCACGATCGTATACCAGATATTTCACGATCACATCGCAATACTTGACTTCCGTTACTTATTCTTTCACGATCATTTTTCTCGTTATAACGAATGACAGCCGTGATCCAGTATTGAAATGGATCGGAATGTGGTTGTTCTACATGTAGATACGCTTTTTTATGATATTATTTTAGTTATAGCAATTTCATTTAAACCTATATGCTTATATTTAGTTGTGCTTTAACTTTACTTGTGCTTCAGTTTTTGTATGTTTAGATGTGTTAAGATTTTTTTAGTAGTGCTTTGCATGTAATTCAATATGCCTGTGCTGTATCTATGCATTTCAATATATGCTGCTTATCATCTTATATGCATGCTCTCTGTTTTAATGTTATGTATATGTTATTTATATTCGGTAAAAAGCACCCAAGAGCTCATGTTTGTACTGTTATATGTTAACAGAATCAAAATTAAACTTTCGTACTCGTATTCGTCTTTTGCAATGTCTTTTGAGGGATAACAATCTGCTCTATCACCACCTAGGCTATGTGTTATTAAATCTATTATACTGAATGCTCTGTGGTTATTGTCTTTTTTAAAAATTGTAAATTGAAAGTAATTTTTGACGTCATGTACATAACAATGTTACAGTCATTCGAAAAACAACAAAAATGAAACAAGGTATATATATTTTTTTTGTTTTATGTTGACAGTCTATGAAAAAGGTTTGAAGCCGAAACGTGGAACTTGAACATTGTCTTTAAAATCATTGATGCAAATTCAATTCATTGTCCTATAAACTATCATTTTTTTATATTGGTCTGTACGAGAGGATGACATTCAAAAAATTGTCTCCCTCGTATTAACCAATCCTAATTTTTTGAATGCCATCCTCTCGTGCAGACCAATATAAAAAAATGATAGTTTATAGGACAATGAATTGAATTTGCATCAATGATTTTAAAGATGGAATCCATTAGTAGTTTCCATGTGGGAAACTATCAGACCAATCTATTTGATGTCTGAGGGTTTTAGCTGTTGTTCCCCCAATGGTAGTTTATTTCCGAGATGCTTTATTGTAGGATTTTCGGCTTTCCTCTACCAGGAATACAGCTGGGCATTTAGCGGTGTCGGTTTTGGAATCCAAGTATGTCCTTTCCGGTTTCTCGTTCGTTGCCTTGGCATTTGTGCGGTATCCGGGGTGACCTTATCCTTTATTTTGTTTATAATTGTTTTTATATTTTGAATTTTTATATGATACTCGTTTTTATTGTTTGTTCTTATGTTCTACTGTTACACCATAGTTTCAGGTTAGGGGAGGGTTTGCGCCTTCAAACATGTTTAACCCCGCCACATTCTATATGATCCTATATGTGTCTGTCCAAAGCTCGGTCCAAAGCCTGTCATTAGTTGATTATTGAGCAGTTGAGTGTTATTGAGTGCATGGTTGTCGTTTTTGCTCATATGGTTGTCGTTGGTACATGTCTGTCATATATGTTTTTTTGTTAAAAATTGTTTTGTTATAAATTAGGCCATTAGTTTTCTCAATTGAATAGTTTCATATTTTCATGTCTATTCTTTTTATAGCCGACTATACGGTATGGGTTTTTCTCATTGTTGAAGACACTACGATTGCCTATAATTGTTTACATCCACTTCATTTGAACTTTGGTGGATAGTTGTCTCATTGATAATATCTCCTTATTTTTATATTAAAGAAATATTTTCAAACATTGAATAAAAAACAAAAATGGCAGAAGGAGGTGCTCCAAACGGTCCGAAGAAAACAAGGGACGATTTTTCTTTCCCTATTGTTAATTTTCCATCTTTTGACGGTGATGTTCCTTTGGCACCGTCTTGCTAACTCGTTCGCTATGTCCTTGTCTGTAGTGACGTTTTAGACTTCAATGAACGTAATCTATGTATTACTGGTAAATTATTAGGTCAAGGATTTCGTTACCACAAATTACTTAAAACCTTTACTAAATTTTTCCATAGATACACAGATTTGGTTTGCAAGTTTAGTTGTACCTGTAGAAACTTCAAACAGAATAGCACAACCTAATGTTTACGGTGATGTTGAGTGAGGGTTGTAATGGGGTACCTTCATGACGAATAACGGTAAAAAATCTTGCCAAATGACGATAACGGTAATTTTTAATGCATGACGATAAAATGTACATTTTCTGTATGACGATAAAAAAACGACTGATTTTGACGAATCACGATAAATTCTTTCCAAAAATAAAACGGTAACGGAGGATTATATGAGACCTGTGACGAATCACGATAAGGATATTTTGACAAATCACGATTTTTGACGTTAAAGGTAGCCGAAAATGACCGTTTGACGGTAAAATGCATTCTTACCCTCTTGTTTACCGAGCCTGAAAATTTAGATACGATCCGGGTAAACTTATCAGGACTTATCACTATTTTAAATAAACTTATTCTAAAAGGTTACCAATTCCACACTGTAATTATTATACCTTTAATATTGTTTTTATTGGTATAAATATTGATTTTGTTATCAGTAAATTAAAAACCATACTAAATATTATTGTTATACACTGTGCACTTTCACGGTACTAGAATCTGTCAATACCTATATTTTGGCATTGCAAAAGGTCATATGTTTCTCTGACTGTTACTGACGTCTTTACACTAAATCCATTGGATGTTGGATGTGTACTGACTGATATATTAGTCTTAGATACATGATAGTTTTTATTAGATGTTATTGACTTTGAACTAGCTGTCAGTATCTGCGAGTACCCTCAGATCTGTACTTTGTGTCTTTTTTGTTGTTAGGGATGTATAAATACCCTGCCACGTCCGGTTTGTGTATTTGTTAGTAGTTTTTTTCTTGTTGCTTTGTATCGATCTGATGGGTTAAGACTTTTTCAACTGATTTGCAGATTTTTTTCTTATGTTGTGCTGTAACTCCACTGTCCCAGGTTAGGGGAGGGTTGATCGCTCTCAGACATGTTCAACCCCGCCACATTCTTTATGTGCCTGTCCCAAGTCAGGAACCTGTAGTTTAGTGGTTGACGTTGGTTCGTGTCAGGCTGACATTTTCCGATTTTGTAATCACGGACAATCCTACTTTCGTCTAGGAAATCCAATGGATTTGTTCGATCTCGGAAAATCCTTATGGATATGCTATTTTGCTCTCTTGAACGCGCAAACAAGAACATTGCAAGCGCCATTTATCAACCGAGAGAGAGATAGGGGTGCCCCTGACCACTCTTAGAAATTTCTGTTAAGTTTTCAGTAAAAAAAAATGCTGATACACTTAAAATTTGTTAAGAGTAATCAAAGACGATCTTAAGTTGATTATCGACGTTTGAGATACCCAGTCGTTAAGATTAAAACTAAGAGAGCGTTCCAAGAAGGACAACGAGTACTCTTAGGGTTGCGAGTGAAACATGAATTTTAAGGGCTGTCAATCATTTTAAGATTACTTCGAGATACAATCTTAGCAGATAAGATGATCTTAAGCACTAAGATTGCTTCATGATACTGGCCCCAGTGGCTTACGCCTTTTTGGCATTTGAATAATTTTCTAACAGGACAACCCACCCACTGTAATATTTATTCAAAGAAAACACAGTAAACGTGAAGAAAATGTGCTCTAACCAAGCATAGTCGAATAATTTATTTGCAAGTGAAAAATACAAAAATGGTTCATGTACAGTATGAATGGATGAGTATATACAGATCGGATGTTGATAAGCTATTACTTACAGTTATATACTAATATAAATCTATTACTTGTTTATTTTTGTACACTTGATAGTTTGTTTTTTTTTTCTCATAAAAGGGAATTACATAGTAACAGTTTAAATAAACAATAATTGAAACCTTACTTTTAAATTCAACGATCAAAAATCCTTACTTGTGAGGTGCATAAGAAAACTAATATATCAAGTACAGAATAAATACGTTTAATTTAACCACAATAGGAAATTTCAATAATATAAGACAGAACATATGGAAAACTCACCAACACAGATTTATCTTGCTATACAGCTATAAATAAAATATATTTTAACATTAATACACTAACATATTCTATTACAGACAACATGGTATCACTTTAATATGACAACTCATCATACATTGTCATAAAGACTCTAAAGGCACTATTTCGCACTAACAAATAAATTAAATATATATATATACAAATATAGTTTTATATGTATACAATTGAAAGACTGAGAGTATTTACGAGTTTGACAGCATTACGAGAAATGCATTTTGTTCTTGTTATGTAAATTATAAACACAAAACATGTTTTCATGATATTGTCTCTATCTGTATGAAAATGTAACTCTCTATGCCCTAATAAAACGGATATCAGAGATGACCTTCCAATTTCTCTCTGAAATTTAACTTCTGGTCCGTCCAGTTGGCATGTTCTGTCGCCGGTCATAGTCTTTGTTATTTACTGTGGCCCATTTATTGTGTTGTGTTTTGTTATTTACAGGCTTGTACCTCGTATTGCCAGTGGAAACATGGAAATATGTGAATTCCGCAGTGTTAAAGACTGACTGTATAGGTTTCTTTTCCGTTTTTCTGCTAAAGGATTCGTACACTGGCATAAAGTAGGACAATTGACGATGTGTCTGACCTTGAATTGTCCTTTGTAGAATTTTTGTTAAGCCCATGATGTATTACCTGAAAAGAAAACGTATAACCTCGTTATGATATCGTATCACAAGAAGTTATTCCATTCAGGAGCAATAGGAATGGGCGGTATGAAACATAAGAACCCATTACTGAATAAAATGCTCCCTGGCCACAGCTTAATACGACCGCAGAGGTCGAAAACCCTGAACAGTTGGGGCAAGTATGAACACTACATTCAAGCTTGATACAGATCTGAATTTGGATTGTGATTAAATATTTGACAAAGCATAGGTTTCTGACACAGAATGAATGTGGTCAAAGAACTGAAAAATTTGAAATTGGACTTTTACCAATTATGGTCCAATATCCAAGAATTTAATTTAAGTTTTTTAAGGGGTTCGCTTCAAACAAAATATATATATATAGCATTCTGAAAATTAGTTAATACAGAATAACAAACAAACCTACCACGAAGTTCTTCAAAAAATTTACCCAAAAAAATGAAAAAAAAAAATTTCAAAATATCATTCCTCATTAATACAATGTCTTTAAAAAGTCAATAAAATTAACCTGTAATTATTTTTCAAAATATCTAATAATGAACAGTAATCTATATTTATACATAATTTCTTCTCTAAATTTAGATTTGATGCTATATCTATTTTTAACTATGACTCTTCTTACAATTTATATTAATTGTGTAATACAGCTCTGAATTTGGATTGTGATTAAATATTTAACATATCATAGTTTCTGACACAGAATGAAGGTGGTCCAAGGACTTAAAAATTTGAAATTGGACATTTACCTATTATGGTCCAATATCCAAAATCTAAATACATGGTTAGAATCAGCTTATCAAAGAACCATAAGAATTCAATTTAAACTTTGGACCCTGTGAAACCTCAATGTGGATCAATTTGATAACTAGGCCCAAAATCTAAAATCGAAATACACGGCATATCAAAGAACTCCATATATTCATTTTTGTGTTGAAATCAAACAAAATTTTAATTTTGGACCAACTTGAAAACTGGGCCCAAAATCAAAACTAAATACATGTTTAGATACAGCACATCAAAGAACACCTAGAATTCATTTTTTGTTAAAATCGAACTAAGTTTAATTTTGGAGCCTTTGGACCTTAATGTAGACCAATTTGACGGTTAGATTCGGCATATCAAAGAACCCAAATAATTCAATTTTTTTTTTAATCAAACAAAGTTTAATTTGAACCTCAATGTGGATCAATTTGATAACGAGGCCCAAAATCTAAAATCGAAATCATGACACGGCATATCAAAGAACTCTATATATTCAATGTTTGATGAAACCAAACAAATTTTAATTTTGGACCCTTTGGACCTCAATGTAGACCACTTCAAAAACGGGGCTCAAAATACAAAATCTAAATACACGGTTAGATTCAGCATATTAAGAACCCCAAGAATTCAAGACTTTGAATGAAACTACATTGAAATTGGTCAAGAAATAAGCTATTTATACAAAGTATTAGAAATTATTTTTTTTTTGCCTTTTTTTCCTAATCGGTTAGGGCCATTACCCCCCAAATCAATCCCAACCTTCCTTTTTTTGTGTTTTTGATATGGAACCTTGTGGTACAATTTCATAGAGATCCATAGAATTATACACAAGTTATTGCCCGGGAACCAAAAAATCCTAGTTTGTTTGCCGCTTTTTGGCCTCTAATTCCTAAACGGTTTGGGCCATAAACCCCAAAACCAATCTCAACCTTCCTTTTGAGGTATGAAACCTTGTGGTACAATTTCATAGAGATCCATACACTTAAATACATAAGTAATTGTCCTGAAACATGAACAATGCTTGTTTTGGCCCCTAATTCCTAAACAGTTAGGACAATAACCCCAAAATCAACCCAAACCTTCCTTTTGTGGTATGGAACCGAGTGCTACAATTTCATAGATATCAATTCACTTATTCTCAAGTTATTGTCTGGAAACCAAATGCCATCGGACGACGATGACGGCGACGCTGACAATTTCATAACATTGTACGACTGCAAATCGTATAAATAAATAAATAAATAATCTTTATTTCAAGAGGATAATCCCAGTAGTTAAAACTAATCTTCCTGGGAGTCCTCAAAATAATAATAACATATACATAACGTACATACAATATTATAATGATATATACACAATATACAATTTTATATAGATATCAATGAAAAAGCATATTAATCTGCCTTCTTCATGAAAAATTTGTAACATTTTGTTTTAAAAAATACAAGTGTATTACTCATCTTTTATTATTTCATTTGGTAAACTGTTCCATATTTGTGAATCAGAATATATAAAAGTTTTCTTCAATAAACAGCTGCGCCATGAGCGCATGATACGCCCGTCGTCTTGTGTGTGAATTTAAAAAAAAAAAAATCAATATCTCTAAAATAAAATTTTGAATCAAAACCAAAAAGTATACAGATCTTTAGATCAATATAACTAAGTAGTGTGTAAAATTTTAAGCAATAATCATAAATCGTTTTTGAGATACAGCGCGACATGTGAAAAAAACCCTCCCCCGTTTTTTACAAAATACTCAATAACTCAAAAATAAAATTTTGAATCATCACCAAAAAGTATACAGATCTTAAAAGATTAATATAACTAAGAAGTGTGTAAAGTTTTAAGCAATAATCATAAATTGTTTTTGAGATACGGCGCGACATGTGAAAAAAAAACACACACCTGTTTTAGTTACTAAGTCCCGTAACTCAAAAAGTTTTAATCTTATTTTCACCAAAAAGTATACAGATCCTTTGACCATCATAAGAAACAACTATGTTATGTTTCATGAAATTTGGATAAGTCGTTCTCAAGTTACGGTGCGACATGTTTACGCCGGACAAACAGACGACATTTGTATACCATAATACGTCCCGTCAAAATTTTTACGGGCGTATAAAAAATTTGTTTTTGGTTTCGGAAGTTTCAATAATTTTGTCATAAGCTGAACGTAAATTATAATTATCAATAAAATGAAAGATTTCTCGTAAATAGTTAGGAACTATGTCCATAAATGATTTAAATACAAGTATTGCCTTTTGATATTGAGTTCGTTTTTCCAAATTCAACCAATTTAAACTATTAAATAATAAACTGGAGGATGTCATTATGCCAGCTTCTACTATAGTTCATAGTAGATTTCTTTAATAACTGATTAAGTTTATTTATTCCATTTTTATTACAACTACCCCACATATTGTATCAATTATCAAACAATGGCAGAATATAAGCATTAAAGTAAATAATACGTATATGCATAGGTAACTACTTTCGTATCATTTGTAATAAGTTGATTCTATTTGATATGATTTGCTCATTCCAATTTAGGTTATTGTTGATGTATAAACTAAGAAGTTTTTCACAAGTGGGTATACGGCGATAATTAGACCTTACCGAGTCAACAAAGTAAATTTATTTAAAAATGCTACCAAACTATGGAAAATTGCTTGTATGGTCAATTTGCACCAGCTATTTTAAAATCACAAGAGAGAGACAATATAAATCAGCTTTCATTTTCTATTTTAAGACATTTTTTTCATTTCCATAAAAACCCTTTACATCTTGTAAACCTGTCAAAAGAGAGAGAGACTTAGATGTGCGTTAGACAGCACACCAACTATTTTTTTTTTAAATATCAACATCTAAGTGCCAACGGTCTTTTATATTGGTACATATAGACTATTTTGTTTTATATCAGTTTCCTCATAATAAAAATAATAATTTGGTTAAAGTATTTTCAAAGAGCTGTAAGAGCTTTGGAAGTTATGCCCACCCTCAGAGTGCCCACCAAAGAGGTCGAAATCAATGAAATGAACAGACAATGGTGCCTGCTTGCACGGAGCTTGGTGAATAACGTTCTTTAATTGGAATAAAAACCACCAAAAACTTGCGCATATTTCAACCTAAAATTTACAACTTTCTTCTTTAAATAATTGTTCTATTTCTTTGGTCGCCCTATCTATATAAATAATCTATATTTCAAAATGTACATTTCAGTTAAATAAGGCTATTTTATTCAAAAAAGGATTCAACAACTTACTTGCACTTGGCTTCTTTTAAATATATGATCCTTGTTGAAACTTAATAATATCGTATCCTGCTATTAATACTGGCCGATTTATATTCTAAATTTAAAACTTTGTCAATCGGTCAAATTTCAATAACCCTGACATACAAAGATAATCTATGGACGAAATCCAAAATTTAGAACAATCTTACTGACGTCATATATAAATATACATTCATGGAAATTTCAATGTTATACGGGAATTTTAAATTACTGTATTGAAAAGAAAGTATAGATTGTAAACAGAATATGTTCCCAGATTATATTCTCATTTAATCAGGTCCAGGAAGTTATATTAAAAGTTCGAATGCTTCATATTTCATTTAAAGTAAACAAACAATTGTGATTTGATTTATGTCTATTCTTTTGTGGAAAGATATATTGATTCAGACGGGTAATGTAAATGTCAATTTTAATTTTAAAAAACCAGTTTGACTTGAAAAAAGGATAATAAACGTGACACAGATGGTGCCCCCGCGGCAAGTTTGAATTTAGTGCATCTAACATTAGACCTAGTATACAGAGATGATTTGAAATAGTTCAAAGAAACATGTGATGCCCCGCGATAGTTTTTTTTTCTTTCTATGATGTATAGGACAATTTATTGTTGTTCTTCCAAATCATATATCAAGTGTTGCTTATAGTTAACAATAAACAAAAATGTAAATATTGATAATGCAAAAATGCACATTGACTTGTTAGTACCATATATTATGTTCTACAGATACAATTATTCAGTTCAATAGTAAATGCAGGACCAATGTAAACACATTTTTGGAATTTATCAAAATCCTGATAATATAAAAGAGCTTTACAATGTTCAAAAAGGCTTCCTGATATACAGGTTCTAACAGTAAACTTAAAACACGAAGGAGGAATTAGAAAGACAAACCATGGTCAATACATGCAGTCACAAAGAAATTACTAAGTCCACCACTGTCATTTGCAGAAAGTTTAATGAAAACCAAAGTTCGTTTACTTGTAATATGCACAACCTTAGTATATGCACTAACACTCTACATATATAAAAATCTAGCTGAAAGACTGTATTTGGAGATAAACAGACAGTCCGTGCATCTTATGTACAACAGACGGACAGGGGCTAAACAATATGCCCCTTCTTTTCGTCGTGGGGCGTAAAAATGCTTTGCTTGAATATTTTTTTAGAAACAATGTACGTCATGACGACACTATTTATTATTTCATTTCACTCTAATATTCGCTGTTCAAACAATTCGGCTCTTCCGACTATTGGGCATCCAGATTAATAGACAACACCCAGGCAACACATGTGGTAAAAGTTAATGAAACATCTACTCAAATACTTATTTCAACATTTACGATCTTCAACGTTGACCAATATCAAATAGCTTTAACTCACACAGAGTGTTTAAAAGTTGTTAATACATTTGACTTCGACGATGGAAGAATTAGTTCAGCGAAGACGACGGAGGATTGAATTGACTAGAGCTGACAGAAAGATGAGTTGGCTAGAGCCGACGGAAGAATTGATTGACTAGAGTCAAATGAAGAACGAATACAACAGAGACGACTGAAGGATATATATGTTGTATTAAAATCATGTCTTTGGCAACTCATAATTTTACTTTAACAACGTTATTATGGTAAAATTATGAACTGCCAAAGATAACAGTTTAATATAACATATACAACAGATACAAAAAAAAAACGGTTAAAAGAATTAATACAAAAGAGACGAAGGCATATAGAACACAACAGAAAAGGTTGAATAATGAATAGAACAGAGACTACTGGATGAGAAATAAATACAACAGAGACCACTTCATGAGAAAGGAATACATCAGAAACCATTGCACGAGAAAGGAATACAGCAGAAACCATTGTATGATAAAGGAACACAATAGAAACCATTGCATGATAAATTAATACAGCGGAGACCATTGCATAAGAAACGAATACAGCAGCGACCACTGCATAAGAAATGAATACAACAGAAACCATTGCATGAGAAATTAATACAGCAGAGACCATTGCACGAGAAAGGAATACAACAGAAACCATTGCATGAGAAATGAATACAGCAGAGACCACTGCATGAGAAATTAATACAAAAGAGACCATTGCATGAGAAAGGAATACAACAGAAACCATTGCATGAGAAATGAATACAGCAGAGACCACTGCTTGAGAAATGAATACAACTGAGACCACTGCATGAGAAATGAATACAGCAGAAACCATTGCATGAGAAAGGAATACAATAGAAACCATTGCATGATAAATTAATACAGCGGAGACCATTGCATAAGAAACGAATACAGCAGCGACCACTGCATAAGAAATGAATACAACAGAAACCATTGCATGAGAAATTAATACAGCAGAGACCATTGCATGAGAAAGGAATACAACAGAAACCATTGCATGAGAAATGAATACAGCAGAGACCATTGCTTGAGAAATGAATACAACTGAGACCACTGCATGAGAAATGAATACAGCAGAAACCATTGCATGATAAATTAATACAGCGGAGACCATTGCATAAGAAACGAATACAGCAGCGACCACTGCATAAGAAATGAATACAACAGAAACCATTGCATGAGAAATTAATACAGCAGAGACCATTGCATGAGAAAGGAATACAACAGAAACCATTGCATGAGAAATGAATACAGCAGAGACCACTGCATGAGAAATTAATACAACAGAGACCATTGCATGAGAAAGGAATACAACAGAAACCATTGCATGAGAAATGAATACAGCAGAGACCACTGCTTGAGAAATGAATGCAACTGAGACCACTGCATGAGAAATGAATACAGCAGAAACCATTGCATGAGAAAAGAAGACAACAGAAATCATTGCATGAGAAATGAATACAGCAGATACGGACTGAAGAATGAACCCAACAGAGACGGACTGAAGTATGAATAAAATATCGTGTTTCGGCAAAGAGATCACAAGTTTTCAAACTTAATAAAAAAATCTCAGTATTGTTCTGTCCTTAGTTTTTCCTTGTAACAAATATTTGTCTAGTAGCACCACCATTCTGCTTCTACTAAAGACCAAAACTAGCAAATATGTATTCAGATGTGTGGTATGAAATGTTAAACAGAGGTAGAGCCTGGATTTATTTCAAACTAGGGCCATATTAAAAAGTATTTTCATCTTTAATAAAATGCTAGTATACAGTATTGCATCTCCAGCACTTCGAGGTTCTGATAATAGTATGGCTTATTTCTAACTAGATCATTAAATTATAAACGCCCGAAGATATCTCAAAACCGCAATTTTGACATATTTTAGAAAATTTTGAGTACTCATCCCAAAAATGTATCAGAAGGACATCCTTAAATAAAACCAAAATTATATTGGACCTGAAGCTTTGTATTGTCCTACAGATACAATTTTTTTAAGTACTTTTTCGTTAAAGACGCCCCTTGATGCCAAAAAAAATATACGAAACATGTTAAATTTGCTATTTGTATCGAATTACTTGCCTTTAGCAGTAACATAGTAGAAAAACTGTATGGCGCTGAATAACATTTAGATATAATAGAAATATGTAAAATCGGTTTTAAGTACATGAAATAAACTCTTTTGTATTCAAATTTCCATAGGATTTGACAAATTATAGATTTTAACCCTGTGAGTGAGACAAGGGGAAATTTGTCCTGTCTCTTTCCAGAATTAAGATAACTATAAAAGAAAATGCATTATACAACAATCTTGAAACTTACCGTTGTAAAGAGAAACATAAACACATTCAGGTCGACATACAGTACTTTTTATGTGATTTTTGGCAAGAGAGGTGAATATTTTTAGAAACAATGCTATAACAATATTGTGATGTATTTATAAATGTTATGTTAATAATGAGCTTATCTTATCGAAAACAATAGTGTTACATTCGTGTACTTTATCAGGTGTTTGCCTCTGAGATATTGATATTCCGACTTATGATTAAATTTCTTTTCCCGATACCAAGAAATATCATGTCAGATGAGAATATTACAGAATAATATAACTTAATGGAAAATTTGATTTAAACTATATCTATAAAATAACGAACAAATTTGCCGTAAAATGGCACCAAACCTCAGTCCGAAGGCTCCTTAGGACAAAGGCCCGATAGTATGAAAGTTTTATCATTAGAGGGTTTCTGAATCTCTAAACTCCAAACTAATATCAAAACTTAAAAATTTGGATGTTAAATATATTAATCGTTTATGATCATCAACTAACAAACAGAAAAAAAACGTATAGAAAAAAACTTTACCCGAGAGAGTTTTAAATTCAGTTTTAATCATAGTTATACCGAAGGACTAAGACAGTAAGCTTACTATAGTATCATCCGTAACATTGTGGTTCGGGTGCATTATTTTAATAACTAACAACAAACAAGTCAAACAAATATAAACATTAAAAGGACTAGGAAGATTTTTGCATAATAAAAACAAGATTTTAAAACATTTCTTTTTCTTGATATGTAATGGAAGGTAAAACAATTTGTATTTTCACGCATATATTCTAATCATAAGTTAAACAATATATATGTTTTGATTGCTATAGCATGTATATATAAACTAAAAGGTAATAAGAACAACACATTCATAACTGAAAACCTAACACAGTATCGAATATATAGGCATTATAAAGAAACTATCAGATCTTAAAGCAGACATGAGAATTATGTCTTACTGGACGCTTGATGACAGAATCAAAAGTATGTAAAACTGGAGACAAGACTCTTATTACATCAATGGACGATATATATGAGCTCCAAGTCTTCTTTGCAGATGATAAGAGACCCGATGAACGCCCAAATAATGGTGACAGTTAAAATTCAGAACTGATAGACAAATTATCGAACTTAATATTCATAATCAGTACACCTAAATACATATATCTTTTTTGCCGCTGATATATTTAACTGACCATGTGTGTTTGGTATAAATTTTATAACTCATGCAAATACACAACTATATATTAGTAGGAAAAATCCAACAACTGAAATCTGTTAAAGCTTAACACACCAAAACAGTTATTTGTTATAATTGGAAAATGTCAAAGAATTGCAGATTTTCCGTTTATTTTATTTTCTGATTCAAACACACCGTAATTTATTTACAAATCAATAAAGTTCTACCTTTTCGACTGAAACATTTTACCTTCATCAAACATGTCGAGCAGGGTCCCGGTAAAGTGAGAAACGGAACAGAAACGAAACAGAGCGAAACGAAACGAAACATGGCGAAACGAAACGAAGCACGACGAAACGAAACGAAACACGACGAAACGAAACGAAACATGTAAATTGAGAAACGAAACACAACGAAATGAAACAAAATCTGTATTTTGAGGAACCACCTATAGAAAATCTTCCTGACGAGATATGTGCACAGCCGAAGATACCGAATATTCCATTCAACTTTGAAAAAATTACTTGTCATTTACATTGGTATCTTCGTGCATTAGTTGCAATTAGTCAACTTGTTTTGTTAAATGTGAGGCTTAGGTGCATCACTATGCTACAGAGCCTGTTCTAACGGTTTCTTGTCACGTGCAACAATTAGGGAACATTGAAATTAGAATAGCTGTTACTGGGGATCGTCTGAATATCAGCCTCAAACAAAATTGGCCGTTCTTACCTTTGTGACTAGGATTTTTATGTACCGCCTACGGTAGTGGGGCATAATCTTTTCTGGTCTGTGCTGCCGTCCGTCAGTCCGTTCGTCCAATACTAGGTTTATTCTGTTTGTTAAGATAGATTAAATTACAATGGAGTTGTGTTCATGTCAACTTGAAACTATACACATGTTCATTATGAAATGTTCTTTTTGAAATGTATGTCAAATTAGGAATTTGAACCATAATTTGCGATTCAATGAACATGAAAATTTGATATTT